TGCCTTGCATTTGTAACAATTTAGAGTGTCTAATTCTGCTTATATTTGTCTACGGTAGACTGCAAATATCATTATATTAATGCTTCACACAAATCAATGTTTAAATTGAAAAAAGACAGCATAATATCCATATCATACAATTTTACCATTGAAAGCTGCAGGAACAGAGCTTGATAAATGTGTTAAATCCAGGGAAAAAAAAAAAAAAAAAAAAAAAAAAAGACTGTTTTGCATTCCCTACGTGCCATGATAATAATTTATCTCTGAATGCAAAAATTCCTTAACTTACAACAAGCATCCTAAAATACACCACACGGTAACTGCTATAATTTGGTATTTTCAGATAAGCGAGCAAATGTGTAGAATTCAAAAATAAATGGAAGGACATGAAAGACAGCTATAAAATAAAATAAATAAAATAAATCCTTGCTCCTGGATAAATTAGTATTGACAAGTAGGGCCAAATTTATCCCCTACAGTGGGGGAAAAAAAAAATCTCTGGAACCACTAATCCCAGTACTCAAGGTGAAGATGGATATTTAAATGCAACAAGGAGCACCAGCAATAGGAAGCGCTGAAGGTAAGGTGCAGTCTCAGGTTCTGTGAGACAAAATACCACAAATTTCTCTAATGTCTATAATCACCAAATCGCCATTTTCTCAACTAGAGAAGTGCCCTGGTAGAAATCCACCAAAGAACCAGGCTGCTGATAATGAATGTGTTGGAAACAGATGACCAAATGACAACCAAGACACTTTATTCAATTTATTTTTTCCTAGTAGGACATTTATGAAGAAAAGCAATGTCATTGCCATAAGGACAGTGCAAACGACCAAACGTTCTGCTGCACGGCATCATTTGTAATACATCTGCTGGCAATTAAAAAAATACATTCAAAAGTACAACCACTGGGTCGGTGACAAACCTTGGTACTGAAGCATGAGATGGAAGCAAAAGCTAAACAATTTAAGCTGAGCTGGATGCACATAATGCCCAGCACTGACTTCTTCAGGTAGTTAAGGAACAACAAAATATGTATTTAGCAGCTTGGAAAAAAAAAACAGGACTGTACATAAATATTTTAAAGAGCTAAAGTAAGTAACAATAACATCACAGCTGATATTTAGAAAATAGCCAAGATGCACACACACACTCCCACACACACCCACATATATGTATGCTGTCAGTGCCATTTCATTGTTCCATCTGTGTCCTCTCGTGCTCCGGCAGGACTGAGGGTTACAGTGGATTACTGAGAGTTGCTCGCACTAAAGCCTCGCTGGAAAGTTGCAATGTTGCAGTGCAAGGGCAGAGTGCTGCGCCTGGCTGCTCCAGCCCCGCGGTGCCCACAGGGGCTCACATTTCCCTTTGAGCGTGCCAGCAGGGCAGGCTGCTCCCTCCAAGGAGTGCCCGGCCGCGCTCCAGCCTGCTCGCATTGACAAGGGGCGTTCCTGAGCCCGGCCAGGTCATCAATAAGGAGCTTTGCAGCCAGGCGGGCCCGGTGCAGCCCTTTCATCGCAGGGACGGCAGCGCACGGCCGGTCACGGCTGTAGCAATAAACATAAAGGTAACTTACACGGCAACAGCGAGGATTAACCCCGTGGCTAACACGCGGTTTGTCCGGTTTCCAGAGCTTTTTTTATTCATTCTTTAACACCAAAATCTATGCAAGGGGAGAACGTTCTTAATGAACATTTTCATCCTCTCTCTTTAGACATAAAAAATAGTTGCAGCAGCCCGAGCAGCCGAGCAGGCCTTTCACTTCCCCTGCGGACACCTCCTGCAGTCGAGAAGTTCATTAAGTTTTATGATCTTCCCAAGTCAGTCCTGCTTATAAGCCTCACAAAGGCCACAAATCTGGCAAACCATCATGTATGCCATTAGGCTTTACTAGGAAATGAATGCTATTTAGGGGTGGTGGTGACAGTAAATTCGGGGTTGGTTGGCAGCTATCGTTGCTGCTGGACTTGGGGAAATAAATAAATAAATAAAGAACTGTAGATGTGTGCACCGTTATGCACGTGAATTCAGACATTTTCATAAATGTGTGATCCTGTCTCTACAAATGACTTTTAAAGACAAAAACCTAAATTATCTATCGGCACAGTCCAGGACCTAATAATATGTTGCTCCATTGGGAAATAATTGCAATTCTCTAAGACATTTTAAAACTACAAGAATTAATATATTTTCACTTCTTTCTCCACAAGAATAACCAGGACCCCAGGTTGAGCAACATCCTGGAGGAAGCTTAATAAAATCACCAGTCTGTAGGTGTTTTAGAGCTATTAAAAAAAAAAAAACCAAACAATGGTGCAAATCAGTTTTTGATTCCTTCTGGCAGGACGTGAGGAAGCGGAGTGTGACACAGGTATGCAACAGATGTGAGCGTGTGCCCAGTGACACCTCAGGGACGGGCAGAGCACAGCCAAAGGGAGCCAGCGGCTCCTCACTCGCTCATCTTCCTGTTTATTGGAGGGGCTTCGGAAGAACTCTGCTATAATTTTTCTTTGAACTAATTAAAGCCAGAGGTGGCAGTTTCTTTATGAACACCGTGCTACCTTGTGGTTGCCTCTCAGAATACACACAGCTATTAATAGCTGTAAAGCACTTAAATGTATTATGCAGCACTTTTGAAAATGTTAAAATGTTAAAAAAGAAATGTCAGGCTAAATTCAGTAACTCAGTGATTTGCTTTGTACATGGTAAATACCTCACAAGGAGAAAAAATAAAAATCTTCAGCTCCTGACCCTGTGTGAGGCTTTCAGAAATGAGATGCATCCATTAACCCTTGCTGGGAAGTGACAGAGTGGCTCCATGCAAATTGAGGATTCCTCCTTGTGCTCTCTCCCATCCAGTCTCACAAAGTCCTTGCTGAAACTACTGTACTGAAACTACTAAAATGCAAATAAATACATAATTCAATATAAAAATTACTTAAATATCGCATGACTTGTTTCTGAACAGATATGACTTCCTCACCTCTGGAGGAAGGCAGTGATGAAGCCATCACAGCAATTCCCACACCCAGGTAAAGTTTGGTTCTGATCAGGAAGAATTAAACACCAGCACACGACCCCATGGGAGGCAGGTTTAAGCACCCCAAGACAATGCAGAGCCCTAGGTGGAGAGGGGGACACCTCTGCTTTAACTGCATCTCAGACCCTTCCTCGAGCTTCCAGTTTGGAATTGTTTGAGCCATTCCCTCCGAGAACAGCTTCCAGATAACGGGCTACAATTTATTTTCACGTTTTCTTTGGTTTAGCACACTAAGTAAAGCCTGAACAGACATTTCACCTCAACTGGGAGACCCTGAGTGAAGGTCCCCTTCCGGGAAGAGTTTTTGGTGGAGGTGTGGATCCATCTCCATCAATCACTCAGAGCATTAATCGTGTCCCTCCCGTGCTGCGGGGCTGGCAGGAGCTCGCCTGTGGGCAGGCAGACGCCTTCACTCTTTGTTGGTTCTCACAAAAGAGAGATAACTTGAAAACTTGCCCGACTTCTTGCAGCACAAATGCAGGATCCCAACTTACAAGTTATCACTGAAACACCCCGAAAGGTTTCAGACCACAGAGCCTCTTGTCAGGTTCCCCCTCGCCTGCGAGACGGCGGCGGCCTCACAAACACCCTGTGCCAGTAATCCCACTGCTGAAAGGACTCGGGCTTTCTTCGCAGCTCACCTCTGACATGTGGCTGACTACACTTGCCTTTCAAAACACTGAGGCTAAGCCCTCTGCAAATAAAGTGACCGCGGGACCTACGCCTGCCTCCTTAATTGAAATGTGCCTCCTGCAAATGTCTGAACACCGAGGGCAGGTCGCTCTCTGGCTCCGGAGCAGGACGGGCAGAGAAGTTTAGGGCAAGGCAGGAAACAAACACAAGCCGAAGGAAAGGGGTTACTAGCCGGCCGAGGTGGAACGTAGGTAGGTGGGAAGGGAGAGGGATCATTCCCCTTATCCCGGGTAATATAATGCAACATAAAGCAGAATCAATCTTAATATTCACAACACAGTCAATACCCTAGTGCTTAGCTGTCAGCAGGAACTGAAGTGGATCCCCGGTAGCAAAGAAACCCTTGGACATAAAGCACCATAATTCACAGAGAACCGCTCACTCCGGGCTCCACGGCTCAGATTTGCAATGATTTCACGTTGGGTTGTTTTCATCCAGGTTTATTTTTTCAGTGCGGAATTATGCAGAACGTTATTGAGTATCACATAGAGCTAAAAAGCCAGGCAATGGCTTAAGCTATATGTGAATAATTGGCTATTCATTTTTAAATCCAGTCATAGTAAATGTTTTTGCTATTGTTAAATGTTTTTACTATTGTTAAATGTTCTTATTCTCGCTAAATATTATTTCCACTAAATGTCCTTGTTCTCATAAGACAAAGCAGAATACTTTGCGAATTTTCTTCTTTAAACAAACAAACAAAAAATTCTATAAATTCAGTGATGTGAAAAAATTGCAAAAAAATCTCCTAAAATGCCCACAAGAAAAGCACGGAGTTTATTCCTGTCGCGTTAATGAAGACGAAAAAAACCCGCACTTTTGAGATGATTTTTGATAATTTTGGCGTTTAAAAACCCAGCGCCCGGGAGGCGCCGGAGCAGCGCCGGGCACAGGAGCGGGGTCGGGGCGCCCACGGCGGGGCCGCCTCGGGTTCGGCTCGGCGCCCCCGCCCCTCACGGAGCTCCCGGTCCGGTGCCGGGGTTAAATCCCGCGGTCACACCGCCCCGGCATGTCTTTCACACACTGCCTGACGGTAACACGGCAGCGCGGACGCTCCGGGGCCCCGGGGGCCGTGAGGGGGGACCCCCGCGCCCTTTCACGGCGCTCCCGCCGCCTCAGGAGCCGCCGGGTGCCCCCGGCCCCGCGGGGCTCCCCCGGCCCGGCCCGGCCCCCGCCCCCGGCGGCGTGAGGGGCGCCGGGCCCGGCGCGGCGCAGGCGGGAGCGCTAAGATGGCTGCGGCGGCGGCGGCGGCGCGGGCGGCCCGTACCTGTTTTCTCCTTGATCTCGCAGAGGACGCTGAACAGGGCGGGTTTCATCCTGTGGCAGTTCAGGGCGTGTTTCCTGCAAGAGAGCACAGGACAAGCGGTTAGCGCCGGGCTCCAGCAACATGGCGCCTTCCCCAGCCCCGCGCTGGGGCCGCTCGCCCCCCGGCCGGGGGTCCCGGGGCCGCGGGCAGCGAGGGCCGGCCGGAACCTCCCTCATCCCGCTTCGCTTTCATGCGGAATTATCTTTGTGCAAACACCGCCCGAACGAGGGGGAAAAACCACCCCCCTTGTCCCCGTCCTGCGATATTAGAACTGATTTATTAAGGAGATTGGGGAGAGGGGGGGGGAGGTGTGCAGAGTTAACATTGTTTTTGTATTTATTGTGATTTAATACAGCCAGGGTTTGGTTTGGGTTTTATTCACACACACACACCCTCTCCTGCAGCAGTATCTGGTCAGATTTATAATTCATCTGCTGCCACTTTGAGACAAGAAAAGAAAGAAAGAGGCAAAGTTGTACTTTGAGGGATGGCTGGACAGACAGACGGATGGACGGCGGCGCAAAGGCCGGTATCCACCGGACAGTGTCCAGCGGGAACGGCAGGGACCAGCCACAGCCTCCCGCGCCACAGTGACGGCAGAACCATCGCACACTTCTACATTTATCATATCTATTTTTTTTTTTTAAGGAAAGAAATCATTAAATAGCAAAAATAGCAACTTGGCTCTGCCTTGGCTGCTGGTAATTTCTCTTACGGCCCCAAGAAGTTGCTCTTAATTGTGAGACTCCGGGTCTCTGCAGAGGAGCAGGAAGGAGAGAAACAAAAACCACACACACACACCAAAAATAATTTAAAAAATAATAATATTAATAATAATTTTTTTAAAAGACAAGGTTTAATTAGACGAAACCAACTTTGCTTGTGCCTCATCCAGGCTTTGGTCAGTGATGGTCATGATCTGATGGAGGATGTCGCCGATGTCCTGCTTCCTGCCGTCGCCGTCAGCCCCTTCGTGTCCGTGGGGAGGCGGCAGGGCCATGCCCCCCTGCACCGAGTGCCCGGCCAGGTTCACGCCGGCCAGAGTCTGCAGCATCCTGGACTGATCGTCCATGGCTCCGGGCCGGGCCGCGCTCCGGGCGGTCACGGCAGCGCCTGCCCCGCTCAGTCCCAGTGCCGCGCTCCTGACCGCGCTCTGCACACACACCACGAAAAAAGGAAAAAAAAAAAAAAAGAAGCCAAACAAAACAATAACAAAAAAAAATGTAGTATTTGTGTTTTGACCGGATCTCAGCTGTTTATTCCACTCTCTTCTCCTTCCCAGGGCAGTAAATCACTCTCTTCTTTAGTTACAATCTTCTTTCATCATCATCATATTGGTGCCTCGGATAAATGAGCTGAGCAGATTTCTGTGAGGTTTTCCTGGTACAATCTTCCTCCAAAGATTTTTTTTTTCCTTTTTTATTTTTATTGTTGCTTTTTATGTCTTTCCCCACTTGTCCAAAAATCTTCTTTGCAAAAAGGCAAAATTAAAAAAAAAAATTAAATGCAAAATCAAAAAAACTCGCTTTCAAATCCTTCAGAAGTTGGGAGGGTGCAAACAGCAAAAACCACAACAAACCAGCGAACACCCCCACCCCCAAATTGCAACATAAAAAAGCCAAGAAAACACAATCACAGAGGGAAAAAAAAAATTAATCGCCCTCCCCCCCAAATAACAAACGATCCCAAGTCTGTGCACGGGGGTGAGACAGCAGCAATCAAAAGTTTGAACTTGTGCAAAGAAAAGAGCGGAAATAACGGGGAAAGAACTGTAAAAAAATTAATTACACACTCTCTGCAAAGCAATGTGCAAAAATATCGGCCCGCCGGAATTTATGAGCCCCGCGCCCGGTGCCCGCGCGTGTTTTATGTTGTTTGATGGCCGCTCCGGTGAGGGATTGACAGGCTGCCAACGCCACTCACTCACCGCAGACGTGTCACCCTGTGAAGGAGCCGAGCGGCGCGCGAGAGGGAGCGGAGCGCCGGCCCCGCCCCGCCCGCCGGCCCCGCCCCGACCGGGCTCGGCCCCGCCCCGCCGGGCGGTCCCACCGCCCCGCCCCGCCCCGCCCCGCCCCGCGCGGGGCCCCGCCCGCCCCGGCCCGTGCGCGCGGCCCTCCCGCCGGGCCCCGCGGCGCCCGCGCTCCCGGGGCGGGCGGGAGGCGGTGGCCTCGTGCAGGAGCGACGGGCGAGGAGGCCAATCGCTGTGCGGGGGGTCGGGAGCTGGTGGCGGCATTGGCCAATCGGCGCGCGCAGGATGGTGTCGTGCCCGCCCGCCCCGCCTCGGGCCCCTCTCCCGACTAAGGAACTTATGATTGGGCCGTTCGAACGGCGGCGTGGGTGGGGCGAGAAGCCCGGGGGCCGCCCCCGTTGCCGTGGTGACGGCGGCCCGGGCCCGCGCGGTCCCGCCGGGCCGGGTCCGATGCCTCCGAACTCCCGGGGGAGGCCGGGCCCGCCCCGGGGCCGGCAGCTGCGGCCGTGCGATGGAGCCCCGGTGCCTCCCGAACTCCCGGGGGCCGGGCAAGGCCGGGCCCGCCCTGGGGCCGGCAGCTGCGGCCGTGCGATGGAGCCCCGGCGCAGGATGAAGGGTCCCGGGCCGGTGTGCCGCGGCCCGTGCCTTGAGCGTGTCCCCGCGGAGAAGCTGCGGGATAGAACAGGAGCCTTTGGCACAGCCCACGGCCCAGGCCGTACGTTACCGGCGTCATTGCAAATTATCTTTTTGTAAATCTGCACAGAACCGCGGAAATGGGAAGAGAATAAAGCACAGGCACCAAGGGTAATTACGAGTTCATTCTCTTAAGAGGTTACCTGCAGGTAGCTGCCAGCCCTCTTCAGACTGTCCTCACGTCGGACACTGCCCCGTTCGCTCCAAATTCCTTCAGTCCTGGTCCGTTTTGCTCACACGGCTGCCCCCATAGAGGCCTCGTAGGGAAGGCTGCTGTAGGTGCGATGGACAGTCACAGCGGCACTTAAACCATCCTTAATGTGCTGAATGTGCTCTGTCCGTGACGGACAATCCCGGCGGAGCCATGCCCAAACTCATCCTCTAACCTTCCTGGTGGTCTGGCTCATGCCTCAGGCTTGGCATGGGCCAAGCAGAGCTCCCGGCTCCCCCAGTCCCAGCTGGCATCACCGTCCCACACTGTCACTCAGGCCCTGGATGTCACAGGAACCCTTTCACCAATGGCTGCGGTCAGGTGTGGCTGGTGCAGATGGAGATGGCTCCTGGTCAACAAATCTGTGCTCTCACTGTCCCCCCCATGCAATTAGTGAATTCATTCACATTTCAATTACTTTACATCTTAATTACTCCACCATTGTCTGTCTTGAGCCAGTGAGTTTTCAGGGTTATCCAGTTTTACTAAGAATGCTACCCCAAAGGCATTTTAAATTGGTATTATTGTGACTCTTTCACCAATGCATTTGCAAACAGGACAGGGCTCCCTGGCCCTGCAGGGACCTGCTGGGCCTCACCACATCGGTGGAAAGCTGCTGTTCTGGGTGATTTTTTGTACAGTTTTAGAAGGCTGAGTCCAGAGCTCTGGCTCTGCCAGCTGCAGCCGGGCAGTCCCTGTGAGATGCCCTGTGCTGGGGCAGCTCCAGCTCCTGCCCTCGCTCTGCACTGCCAGTCACTGGTACCTGCTCCTCACAGGCCCTTGGTGGCACTTGTGCCATGCTGTCCACTATCCCTCTCAAGGGCAGCTGCTTTTTGATGTGTGCAACTGCTGAGACGCGTTAGCCTTTCCTCAGGGATTAATTAACAAGTGTCCTTACTTCCACAGGAAATTGCAGAGGCTGTGCCAGCAAGTCTGGAAAGGTGACAGGGACACACGGCAGGGAACAGGAACCCTGGGAACAGCTGGGAACAGCTGCAGCTCCAGGGGGCCGCGGGTGTGGCTGGGCACCCCTGCTCGCCCCGGCAGCCGTGCGGACACAGCCCGGAGCCCCGGGTACCCCAGGGACGCTGCTCAGGGCCTGGGGCAGCGCTCGCTCCCTGTCCCGGGCAGCAGCGACCGTGTGTGGGGTTCATCCCGCTGTGTTTGTACACCGAGCGCTAGCTGCACTGTGCTTTTATTGGAAATAAAATTGTAAATAAAACTGGTGCGGTCCCCGTGAGAAAATCCTCCTGTGTGTGGTCGTGCGGCACCGGCTGTCCCGGTACCGACCGGGGCATCACGGGCCGGGCGGCCGTGCCCACCGGAGCCCGTGACCCGCTCCGTGCGGCCGCACCGCCTCCGGCCGGGCCGCTCCGCGCTGCCGGTGCTGCCGGTGCCGCCGCCCCGCCCGTTCCGCGCCGTCATTTCCGCGGCCGCGGCGCTTCCGGGTCGCGCGCGGCCCCGCGCCCGTTCCGCCGGACCCGGACCCGGAAGCGGCTGCGCGGCCCCGCGGCGGCGGCGGCGGCGCCGGTAAGTGCGGGGCGGGGGGGCGGCCGGGGCCGGGCTGCCCGCGCTGTCAGCCCCTCGCGGGCCCCGCGGGATGCTCTGACCGCCGGCGGCGGCCGCCAGCCCGCCCGGGACGCGGCTCGGGGCGCCGGCGCTCACCGGGCGCGTCTCCCGGCGGCGCGGCGGGAGCAGCGCGGGGCGGGCGGAGCGGGGCAGGCGAGCGGCCGGCGGCGATGGGTGGCGGGGCCAGGTGAGCGCGGCGGGGAGCCCGGGATGCCCCGGGGCAGCGGGAGGCACGCGGCTGCGTGCGGGCTCCGGCCGGGTGCCGGTCGCTCCATCCCGGTCCCGTGACATGTGTCCCTGTCACACGGCCCGTGCCCGTGTCCCGGCCGCACGGAGGGCTCTGCCCGCCCCGCTGCTCCCGGCGGCGCTGTGGGCAGCATCACGCCCAAATGCCGGTCTGGACGGGGCTCCCGGTTCTGCACCTGCCCGCCGGTGCCGGCAGAGCCGGGAGCAGCACCGGGGGAGCGGGAAAGCCGCCCGCGAGATGCAGCAGGGAGTTGATTTCGGTGCTAGCGGAAGTTTGGAAATTGACTCCAAAGAGATGCCAGAGCCAAGCTTGGATATCCCGAGTGTTCTGGACGAGTTTGGGCGTCAGGGGATTATCAGGTAGAGGCAAGGCTGGGAATTAGACTCTCTCGGTTACTTTTCCAAATTCAGAACAGCTCCATTCACGGACACTTTTTTGGGTTAGATTAAAAATAAATTGAGATCAGCATGTACGTATAGACCTGTACAGAAATAACTGAAGCAGGGAGAACCAGTTCAGTCAATTTCTGTATCGGTCGTGTTTCAGGTCTTTGTTGTAACACCCTTTCCTCATCTGTTGGTTAAATTTTCACCCATTTGCAACAAGTAACAAATTGAAAATAACAAATAACGAATGTTAAAATAACAAGTAACAGCTACATTCCTGTTGTGCATTTCCTTTGGATCGGTGAAGGCCTCTGCAGGTGAAGCCGCCTGGCACAGGGATCTGTGTTATGTAGCACGAAATTTTCCCGACCATTCGAAGCTGTGAGCGTGAAAAGCACACACCTATATGGAAGGTCAGTTATGGCAACAAATGGCACAGCACAAGCAGCATACTGGTCACAGCCCCATGCAGCAGCTGCCCATTCCCATGCACTCCTTTTGGAGATCACACAGTCACTGTGGTTGGAAAAAACCTCTGAGATCATCGAGTCCAGCCTCTGACTGAGCACCAGCTTGTCAGCCAGGCCAGAGCACTGACTGCCACCTCCAGTCATTCCCTGAGCACCTCAGGGTGGTGATTCCACCACCCCCAGGGCAGCCCCTTCCAACCCAGACAGCCCTTTGTGTGAGGAAATTCCTGCTGGTATCCGCAATTCCTTCTGATATCCGAGGCCAAACGACACTGGCTGAGAAATGGGGCTGGAGCTCAGGTGTCTTCATTTGTTCCTGTTCAGGGACAGACCCTGCACCTGGGACCCTGCCCCACACCTGGGACCTGCCCCACATCTGGGGACCCCGCCCCACACCCCACACCTGCCCCACATCTGGGGACCCCGCCCCACACCTGGGACCTGTCCCACACCTGGGACCTGCCCCACACCTGGGACCCTGTCCCACACCTGGGACCCTGCCCCACACCTGGGACCTGTCCCACACCTGGGACCCTGCCCCACACCTGGGACCCTGCCCCACACCTGTCCCACACCTGGGACCCTGCCCCACACCTGGGACCTGCTGTGCAAAGAGGCGCTGCCTCAGGTGTTGTAGCAGAGCTCTCCAGGGTGTTTCTGTTAGTCTGACACAGACTCCAGGCTGTAAAGTTTTATATTGGCTCTGTGTGTGTGTGAGCTGAGGAGCTCCATCAAACTGTGGTGCCTTGTTGTTCACTGTCTGTCAGCTCAGTTTCGTATCCCAGGCAGCACAAGGGCAATCCCTACCTTGTTTGCTTATTGCCTGAGAAGTGCTGTATCTAAATCCATTATTCTGAGAGCAAAGCAAAGCTCCTTGAATATGTTTTGTGTGCTCTTGAAAGAGACAGACCCAAAATTAAAAGCCACAAGAACAGGGGATTCATCTTTTGCTGAAGGAATGTGAATCTGTCCAGTTCCATTTGACATAAAGGCCCAAAGGGGCTGAAGATCTCAGGCATTTTTAAGTAGGTCTGATCATCATGAGTGTTTCTTACATCAAAAGCAGCTTGCATGCTGCTGTATTTAAAAAATAAGATTATGACCATGTTTTTAATGCAATAAAAATATTTACGTGCACTCGAAAGTGGAATGGCAACAACCTAAAGAAACTGACAAGGAGCAAAGTGTTTGTTGTGGCAGGTGCTGCTGTTTAAGGCCGTGCCAGACCCTCGGTGGTGCTGCTGCAGAGCTGTGCAGTGGCTGTGCTGAGGGCCCTGAGCTGCCTGGATCTGCTTCGTGTCCCCAGGCTCTGTGCTGGCTCCAGGCAAGGCAGCTTCTGTCAGCCTGGGGACCTCTGTGTGT